CGTCTATTTCGTTTATTAGTCGTAGTTGAATGTATAAGAATCGACAACCAAACGGTACCATTTCTTTCCATTCTTACAAGTATTTGTAACTTGTTTAAACAAAGGGCAAAAGGTTCGAGTCTTATCATAATTCTTGAGCAATGTAATCATCTGTTTGGGTAACAAACCCTTCGTGATTCACGAAGAACGAGTGGTCATTCGAGTACACTTTTGCTAATTTTCCAGCGATAATTTTTTCGCTTTCTCTAGAGTTGCTGTAATAGTCATTTCGTCGTCACTCGAACTGATTCGAACGAGATCTTTATTTGCCAGCGGTGTATAATATTTAGCGAAACGTGTGAAACGTTCACAAAGACCAGGCCAGACCGAGGTAATGGCTCTTTCGACGAAGCCTGCTCCTTGTAATTATTTCTCGCGCGCACAAGCACCGCCGAAAAGCCGGTTCTAATTTGCTCCAGCAATTTATCCTCCCCGTTGCTCGTTATCGTCTTCCGTTTAATCCGGCCGCGGTGCTTCTCCTCGAAAATTAAGAGAAATCAGCGCCTAAGCATTCGATTGCTGCGGATTACGACAATTTATAACGCTTTCTAACTATAACATAATATATAACACAAGTAATTGAGTATCCTTATGAGTAACGATTTATTTCTACTTCCTCGAACTAAGCAAGTAAGTAAGTAAAATTGATTTTGTATGTATTCTTGGAATTTCTAATAGCAAGGAAATGACAGTCTGTCGGTGAAGGTTCTGAATTCGATCCCAAATTTCAGAAAGTTTCTTTCAATTTCAATAGGTTGATTTTATTCTTCAGTAAGAGTTTATAATCTATTAGGTATATATACACGTTGGATCGAAGCTCGTTCGAATTTGACGAATTTCGATATTTTAATTTCGTTCTGTTTGCACTTTATTAGAGAGGAAGTTCACTTCCGACATGAAGGAGGAATTTTTATCGAGAAAAAAAAAAAAAGAAGAAAAGGAAAAAGAACGATCAATCTGATAATCGTGAATTTGGACGCGATGTCGTTTCCATTATGAAAAATAACGAGATTCGCCGTTCCCCGTCGGCGATCTTAATCCACTGAAATTAAATTTAAATCCAATCGCTGTCGAACAATTTGAAATTTAAAGTTTCGAACGATTTCAAATTGAAGACGACTCGTCCATTCAAAATACAAAAATACATTATATAAAATCAATAATAAAAGAAAATCAATTATAAATTGTCCTGCCACATTTTTCTCAAAAATTCGACCAAAAGTACATCCTGACTGATGTGAAGTAATTTTCTTCCATATCTACCGTTTCGCTTAAAGACGTCTTCCGCTTCCTCTAAAAGGGAAAGGCAATTCTTACTGGCGGCGATTTCGCGTGAAAACAATCCGAACAATTTACAACAACGTCTGCAGCGAGCGAAAACTTATTGTAATAATCCCCGGCGCCTTTATCGGCTTTAAGCGCGATGCCAAGCGAGCTTGCTTCGTAACGATGGCGAGGAGGATCGTGCCAAAAACGATGTCGAGCAGTTACGATCCGCGATACTCTGGCAAAAATGATCGCAGACGTTTCGTTTATCGCGCCAACTCGCAAGAAATCGCGAGCAATTCCTCCCGAAAAAATGGCGATCACCCCGCTGTTTCGTTCGAACCAGGCGACCGCGCCGAGATCCAAATTCGTCGTTGATAACGCTGGGAAAATCTTCAGGGAAAGTTATTGAAATTGTATAAATTATTGTGGAGACGTTTCTTTCGATAATAGGAAACTCTTTCGAATAATTTGCAGTTAAATACTCGCTCAAATACAATACATTTTTCCTACCAGAGTATCCCTTGATACTTTATTCTTAATACTTCAAATAGTATTCTTATATATTCTTAATAATTTAGTTGAGTCATTGTTAGTAATAAATATTTTAAAAGTAGGATTTTGAAAGTGTTCAAAAAGAATTCAAAATAAATCCTGACACGTTTATGACATGGGTGTTTGCTATTTTTTAATAAGCTTCGAAGGGACAATGAGAATTCTGTTAGCCAATTAGACTCTGATCGTGCGAACTCTAAAGTTCTATAAATAATTTTTATAAACGTAGAGCAATTGATATATCCACGAAAAGAGACACTCTGTCCATTAAATTAAATTAAATAAATATGCATACTTAAGGTTTAAAATTATTCTAAATTCGAAGAAAATAATATTGGGAAATTACTACCTCTAGCAAACAGTCTTTAGGATTAAACACAACTTCTTCTCTTCTAATGTAAGAGAAGCCATTCGAAATCACTGATATTATAATTTCTCATGTATTTCAAACAAGTTTACTACAATATTTCTTATAAACAACTTGACAGTTTTCAATATCTTCAAATACCTTCAAATTTTTGCATTTAGTGATTGCTAAAACTAAGATTTGTATTTAGGAATTAACGACTTTAATTAATTATCGAATCGAAAATATAAATGTATGGGAATCAAATATATGTAAGAAATATGCTACGAAGATAAATTAAATATATTATAAAATGTAATATTAAATATATTGTTAAATATAGAAAATATATTAAAAAAAATATTTATGTATAAATAGATAATCCCTAGATGAAAAATCGATTGTAAATGATCGTTTGACTGTGTATGTGTGTGTGTGTGTATACTGCAAGGTAAAAGTGTACACATCAATGGCATACATACGGATTGACGTGAATGGTGGCACGTAGGAAAACCTTATTCATTGAGCAACGATTCGAATAGATTTGTGCGTAATCGCACTCATTCCCCGCTACCACGCAAGAAATCGATTATATTCTTACAGAGTAGCTGCTACGTGATCGCACTTAAGTGGCTGTTGACACCATTCCTACGTACTGTTACGAGATATCACTTTGAAAAACGTCAATTTCGAAGCAAGCACTTTCTCAATCATTGAATCATCTAATCGCGGACGTTTGGTCTAAGAATTTCAACAAAAAACTGGGCATTTTTTCACTACACAGAGAAAGAATGTAGAAAATACTCCTCACCTACGTTTCACAAGTTGTGTAACTTCTCTGTAATTCAATAAAAATCCAACGTTCATCTTTCAAGTGTCCCAACATCCGAAGAAACTTCTCGAAGAGCCCAACGAAAGTTCATCACCTCATCGAGTCCCACGCGTTACGTAACTTTCAAATTTTACTAACAAAATTAGACAATTTTCGAGAATCGGGACAGAATTTTCGAAGGAACTTTACAGAGATCGCGGAGGAATCTCTCTCTCACCCATGCCTTCCGAGTTTAACAAAAGTTCAACACACAGTTCGGACTTTCGAAATTCTTTTCTAATCCCAGAGATTATTCAACAAAACTTCAACGACTTTTTCACGTTTTTCGGGAAATCTTCGTTCTTTCATAACGCGACGATTCACAGTGAATTTCACTGATCCCGCTGATCGAAAGCTCTTTCACGTTTCTTTTCAGAGAACTTCACGCTCGACTCGAAACTGTCGCTCCTCGTTTGGACCGCAACTGAAGTTTCCACGTGTTTTCCACTGGGCGACGGCCCACGACCGGCAGTTTCGAAACTGCACGTCCGTCGCAGACGTAACTGCCTAACCGTAGTCGCTGCGAAACTTTCGATTTCCTTGGACGTTCGAGCGGGGACTTTCTACGCGGAAAGCGCCGCCACATCGTTGGCGAAGTGGAGCAACACGGATCCAACGAAGCCGTGACGATGACCTTGCGGAGGACGCGGCTTCCCGCGTGCAAGGAAGAGGATTCGAACGACGACGTCGCGTACACCAGGTCCCGGTGGCGCACTAAATGTCGCAATCGGTCGCCGTACCTTTGAACGTGACGTTGAGGAAGGGGCCGAATACTTTCTCTCGACGATCGGCGCGAATCAGCGGCAGCCAGGTCTACGGTTTGCCTGGAGGAACACTCGGCCACGAGTTTTTACCAAAGGAACAGCTAGTCCGCCGTCACGTTTTTCACCGGTGTTCCTCTGCCTCGCGACTGTCACGTAGACACAGGTCCGCGAAATCGATCGAGATCGATCTACCTGGTATCGTTTAGAGGGAGATACTTGTGGATTGTTGCACGAATGTAATGGTCGTCGAAGAGTGAGTGAGCGTAAAATGCGACATGGATCGGTGAATGAAGTGAATTTGGGATAGTTGGTGCTGAGATTGATTGAGATTTTGCAATGGTTCGAGTTTCGGATGAAGAGTGAATAGAACGATGAAGATGAGTTAAAAATGCGAAGTAAATTTAAGATAGTTGATGCAGTGTGCTGAAGTTGATTGGGATTTTAGAGAGAAACTTGCAAATAGTTGCGTGAATGTAATGTTTCTTCTGATCATTGAACGGTGAATAAAGAATGAGTGAATGAAGAGAATGGATCACAACGAATGGATTTATGAATGGAATGAATTTGAGATACGCTGACATTGATTGAGATTTTGTCTACGATCAACGAAGAATGTTAAATCATTTGAAAGACACTTAGAGAGTTTCTTTAATTTATAATTGGCACTATATCGAAAAGAATTGTTGACGAATAATTAGAAATTTGAATGAAAAAGTGATAAGATTATCGTACAAAAAGTGAGCTTGAGTGTTTGTGAAATGCTTCCTCTGATTATTGATCGTTTGTTAAACATTGAAATCGTTTAAAAGATATTTTGTATAAAGAATTGATTGGAGAATGTTTCAGAAATGTTTCATTGAGCTGCGATTGAAATTAGAGGTCAATGTATTGTCACTGCGACATGATATTGAAGGAACTTTTAAAAAGTAATAACGCGATTGATCTGTTAGACAGCGTCCAGAAATGCAAATAACACGCGCGTTTTCCATCCTGGGATGTTGCGTCCTTGTGATGACATTGGCGAATGCGGCACCGGCTCCACAGGAACCCACCTTCAATCTTCCGGTACAGCTGATCGGCTTCCCCGTGATCACTATCGCTGTCAGGCTCACTAATTTTGTGAAGAAACTCGCATACTCGTTGAATCCAGGTGATTTCAAATGTTAAGATAAAAAAAAAAAAAAAAAAAATTGTTACTGAAAATAAATTGCTCGCGTAATAAAATGAAAGAATACTAGGTTCCACTTTTTCAATCATGTTCTGAGAAATATGAATTTGCGTGTCTGTAAAAATCCGTGGTTTAAAAATTTGGAAGCTTGAAAGACACAGTGAACGTAAAGAAATACTTTAAAATATGTAAAAAAAATTTTTTCACAACTAGATTCATTTTTCAGTGATCTTGAAAAGTGAAATCTCCTCTTAATGTCTGCTTTTGAACAATTTTCTTTTTATTGAACCTTGAACATTAGGATTAAATGACGAGATGTTAGGCTTTCTCAAATTTTTAATATCATTTATTATTAAAAGTTGAATAAAAAATCGCACAGCAAGTATCAAGGGCTCGTTGTAAAGCGAAGACTTTATTTTTCAAAATGATGGTGGCTCTAGTTACGAAAGTAATTGTTGAATGTTTCCAGACATGTTTGAATTTTCGAAAAAAAAGTATCTTCACTTTTTTACTCATTACGCGATGTAGAAAAATCATTTTTGAAAAAAAGAGAACGAACTCACAGTTGTCAAAGAAAAGGTTTCATGCCTTGAAATAAGATCAAGTGGGTTTTTATATGACTGGATGTTATATTCTTTTACAAATCGACAATTTTTCATCGTTATTGGTTCAGTTATGTTCTCTACAATATAAATACATAAATTGAAAAAAATACGAGCTGTTGAACGGTAGACATCTGCTTTTCAAATCTGAGAAAATAAATAAGATAAACAGGAACAGAATCAGTTTCATCTAATTAAATAGCAACAGTTCAACACGCTATCGTATCAAGCAAGCGAATTTTTACCATTTTCGTAAAAGTGAAAATGTTTGCGAGAACAAGTTCAACAGCCGTGTTTCCTTCAACTGAATCCACGGTCAGTTCAGTACATTCAATGCGAAAAGAGATCGAACGTCCGACGTGCAGGTGATTCGTCTAGCCTAGTAGTTCCGCGCCGTGAATCGAATGAACGAAGTAACGAAAGCGAAAGTGTTCCACTTGTTGCAACTTCTCCATTGGTATACCGTGTAACGTCCACGTAACGTTCAACTCGCCGTTGTTTCACTGGACAAGCATTAGTCTAATTGCCGACAAATTCTTCTGCTTGTTAATAATTATTATAATAATTAAATAACTATTTTAGGATAAATTTCGGGAGATTTTGTTAATCAAATTTTTGTAAAATGTCACTTGTGACATAGAGGAGCGTAATGACATTATCAATGTCAAATGTTCGATATCGCAAATATTCCAATTCGGTGTCTTCGATATTATTGATATCCTCAATTTGGAAGAGCCATTATTAAAAACTTTTAATCTCGATAGATTCGATATTATTGATATCCAATTTAGCGAGCTGAATGCTGATAATTTTCACGCAGGGAATTTAACAACAATGATTTTTAATACCGTTGGTCCGTCGAATTGAGAATTCATCGATCTCCAAAAATTATTATTGTACCATTCGGCGTGATAGAATGAACTTTGTAATTTTATGACTTCAATATCGAAATTTATCAAACATTTATCCCCGTCTGTGTGTCCATCGACGCTTCTTTTGCGCATCACTGTGCGTTTCATATTCACGAAAGCGACGGATTCTTTTCTCTTTTTTCAGATTCGTCGACTCGCGAATAAATCGGTTTCGGTGTCGATAATTCGATCGAAACGGGGATTTTGACGAGCAGTCAGCAATAACAGGCAAACACGCGGCCGCCAATGGGATCCTATCTAGACGTGTCAATTTTCGTTAAAGTGAACGTCGGAGGAGTCACGTTATTAATTGGTCATTAGCTAGGGATAGTTATTTGACGGTTCTGAACGATCGAAACGAGGATTGTCACTTGGATTGATGACAGTGGTCTGTCTGGCCTGAGTGTAACACTCTCTACTCGCGATCCGTATAGTGCATTAACTCGTCTGACGAATGAAAATACATTGATTCATGAAGACACAACGATAGCGAGGATAATAGACGAGGGATGAAATTTATCTTTATTTAAAGGTGTATTGAATAAAGCGAAAGATTTCGATTTTAGCGAAATTTTCGACTTAGTGACGTCGTATCCGACGTGTACGATTCCACAGTTTTCGAAAGCGGCGTGTCACTAATTGCGAAACCATTTCACCACAGTTCTCCTCTTCGTTCTTCGTTTTCCAGAGACTTACGTCAGCCGAGCGAAACGAGATCTGCCTCTGGTGCACGACGAAGAGATCCTAGACGTTGGCCAAGTGGAGAAGAAACTGATATCGGAGCTGGGCAGTAACGTTTGCATTTACGAGAGGGTCTGCGCCAAGTATGCGGCCCAAACGCTTCAGAAACGAAGTCGCGAACGAGCTTTGGACTGGGACATCGTTTTCAGGTGAGTTCGATTGATACTTTGATCCGCGAGAATTGATGTTGGATCAATTTTTACGAACTTCTTACTAAAGCAATGTTCGTTTGAAAATGAGTCAAAGTTTCACTTTAATTTTTTGCTCGAGTTTTTTTTCTTTTTTTTTTTAGTTTACAACTTAGTGTAAGTTTTTTTCTTAAGCATACCACGACTCGGGAATGTAGATCTATTGAGCAACGTAAAAAATAAGAGTAGAAAAATATATTCGTATTTCGCGCGTAATTATATTCGAAATCTGGCACTCCGTGTATTAACATACTCATTAAAAATTAATTATCACATGTATTGCGATTTTCCTAGGAACAATTTTTTTTGCGTCCGCGAAAAACCGTTCTATTTCTAAAACCTGTTTCATAACTTAATCATAAAACCGCTTTACTTTTGACTCTCTCGTTTTATTTGAATTTTTCCTAGAAGTGGACGTAGTTTCACCTGTGACACAATCTTTCCCCTCGTTCGCTTCAACATCAATTTCAACTCGTTCGTATCACACACGGTCTTTCAAAGGAAAGAATAATTTATTTCATCGTACAATTACACGCGAGACCGAATTCCATCACTCGTTCATTTCAATTTCTAATTTAACTTATCCAATTTTCGTTATAAAATTCCCACGATGGGTAAAAATAATTCAGCCCTCCCATGGGCGGCGAAATTTTTTTTTCCACCAGTTCGTTTCAACTTCTGGCTCGCTTCAATCGTTGTTACGCAGTTTCACAAAGAGAGATGAAAATAGGCGAACCTCGATACTTCGCTGTTCTACTGTACATCAACACCCACTAATCTCACCCCTTTGAATTCGTTTCTCCTCGTTTATTTCAGCTTCCACTTCAGTTTCATTCATACTTCATCAAAACTAAAAATACTTTAACATCAACACGTTACACGAGCCCCAATTCATGTTCCTGGCGATCTCCCTCGATCTCGAAAACTATACAACATCAACGTCATCATCCTGCATCATCAGTTCGAATTTCCTTCATTTGCATCATATTTGCTATCCAAAGTGTTTTACCTCTCCGCTATTGTAATCCTTCGTCTTCATCTTCTATCGTTCAATACGATGAACTTCAAGTTTCTTTTCTCGTCGTAAAAGTCCTCTAGACCATTCTTAATCTCTGATGCGTGGACAAAAATAATTAAAAGAAAGCAGACTTGGATATATTATTTTATTTGTATTTTTCATTTTTAATCTATCTGAAATGAAATACAAATGAAATAATTATTTCAAGTAAATGAAGTAATAGATCATTCGATTCGTCGTTTCAACATTTTTGAAATGTGCAACGAAGAGCATAATTAAATCAGTAGCAATGGAAAATAAAAAGAAAAAAGAGAAAAGAAAAGATTTATACAACGATCCAGTCGGTCTCATTTTAAAGTCTGAAGTCTCTACTTTGACAATCTCTCGGCAATTGTAAAAATTCGATCGTCAGTGAAAACATCAAAAATTCATTCAATTATCCTCTTCATTACGTCGATCTATTACTTGAACGATATATAATCCTGAGAGTAAGTGGATTTTCGGAGTTCGTGGGTGACAGAAAATGATTTCGAAGAGTTAATCGAGAGATTAAGAAACGTCGATCTAGACTGAAGAGCGATTGATCGTTGCACGATTAGCCTTGATATCGATCATGCCAGGAGCAATGGCGATCGATAACGAGGTTTCACGGATGTATATCTCGACTGCGCTGCGTCGTTTGCATAACCACGCATCCTAAGAATTCATCGAACAACCTGCTAAAGACTGGTTTTCTACCTACGTTTCGCTCGATCGACGCACGAAACGTCGCGAACAGGGAGGCTTAATAACGGGCTCGTTAATGCATCGTGGAAAATTACTGATCCATTTGCCCGGCCAGCCGTGAAACGTGTCCCCTGTTATTCGCTCGTCCTCTTCGTCTTCTCCTCCCTTTCTTTCTAATTTACACCGTGTCGCAATGGTGTCAATCTCAACATGGAATACACCTTTTTACTGTGTGTCATAAAGGGAACGATTTCTCTGGATCGGAAGGAGACAGATACTCAGAATACAGAATAGTTTGGAATAGAAATTTCTAGCATCGTTGTGGAATTGCGTGAAATTGCGAAGATGACGACAGAGGTTTCAGTGTTTGATTGGAAGTCGGGTCACGAATTTTTTTGTAAGTGCTCCTTTATGTATTCTTCGTGTCTATTTCTGTTTTAAAGTTGTAAAAAACTCGACTGTAAAAAATTCAGGTGTCTGCAAGTTTCGTCAATGATTCCATGGAATTTTGATAAGGCTTAAATTAAAAATAACAATGTGCCTGCTTTTAGGTTTTTTGAATTGAAGAATTCTCCACTGAACATTCATCATTGTTCGATTAATCGGCGGGCAAATTTGCCATCAAATCTTACAATTTCGACAATAATTTTAATTTCGAAGCAATCTATACTTAATAAAATCTACAATAATAATTTCAAACTTCAGATTTTCAACTTGAATTTCGAAACTTCAATTCTACAATAATAGTGCATAATGTATAATAAAATCTACGGTGATAATCTTCAATTCCGAAATATCAACGATAACTTGAATTTCGAAATTTCAATTTCAAGATCTACAATCATAATGTATAATAAAATCTACGATAATAATTTTCAACTTTAGAAATTCAACGATGATTTGAATTTCGAAATTTTAATTTCGAAGTCTACAATAATCTTAAAATAATTTCGAACTCTGGAATTTTAACGATGATCCGAATTTTATAATTTCGGAATTTATAATAATGATATATAACAATGTCTACAATAATAATTTCGAACTCTAGAATATTAACGACAACTTGAATTTCGAAATTTCAATTTCAAGATCTACAATCATAATGTATAATAAAATCTACGATAATAATTTTCAACTTTAGAAATTCAACGATGATTTGAATTTCGAAATTTTAATTTCGAAGTCTACAATAATCTTAAAATAATTTCGAACTCTGGAATTTTAACGATAACTCGAATTTCATAATTTCGGAATCTATGATAATGATGATATATAACAAAGTCTACAATAATAATTTCGAACTCTAGAATATTAACGACAACTTAAATTTCGAAATTTCAATTTCAAGATCCACAATCATAATGTATAATAAAATCTACGATAATAATTTTCAACTTTAGAAATTCAACGATGATTTGAATTTCGAAATTTTAATTTCGAAGTCTACAATAATCTTAAAATAATTTCGAACTCTGGAATTTTAACGATAACTCGAATTTCATAATTTCGGAGTCTAATTTCAAAATCTACAATCATAATATATAATAAAAATCTAACGATAATAATTTTCAACTTTAGAATTTCAGCGATGACTCCAACTGCGAAATTTCAAGGTCTGCGATAATAATTTCTAGAATATCAACGATAACTCGAATTTCGAAATTTCGATTTCAAAGTCTACAAGAATATGTTCGCTTCTTTCGACTTCCTACCTATCGAAACAGCAGGACCCCCAACAACTAAAAGTCTAAAAGAGCAATTCCAGTCCCTCGTGTCGCCACTTGCCCGCTTGAAATTTATGCGTAACAACCCTTGGGCGACGTTCGATGCGTCGATTCCGCGGGTCGTAACTTCCACGTAGAATAACCACCACCTGCTCGTAAAACTCGAAAACGTAGAACCGAAGGGATCCCGGCCAGCGCTTCTCTTCGACAACCTTAGGAATTTCTTCGATAATTCTTCGGGGATGATCAGCGAGTCGGTTAAATTCATCGTGGCGACGATGCAACGACTCGTATCTATTGTAAATGGCCGTGGCACTTTCTTCCACATAGTGGAAGCTAATAGAAATCCGTGCTACCGGTTGTTCGTAGTCTACGACCTCGCACTAAATTCAGTTGCAAGTAACGCCAGAGCGGTAGATAGCTCTTAATGGCGGTCTCCACGAGCGACCTAATGCATCTTGATAACTCTCTTCGTTCTTCCGCCTCTCCGCCCTTTCACCCCTTCACGTTCGCCGTTTTACGAGCGTCTCGAGCTACCCGCCTTCGAATTCGAGCAGCTTATCTGCGATTTCACGGTGCCGAGATGGCCAGCACGTGTCGTCCAAAGACGAAACGCGTCGGTTAATCGCTTCTGTCACCTATAAGGACAAGGTGGAGAGGGTTTCGAGGCAAACGAGTGGATGTATCGAGTGGTTGGTCCTGGCAGGCAAACGGTTGCAGAAGGTTTAACGGAGCATGCATGAAGCATTGGGACCCTCGAGTCTGTCGCAGAGGCTATTTAAGTTGAAAAATAAAAAGTTAGAAAAGGTTTCGGTGGATAATGTGCGATAAGGTGTCTTGGAACTTCTTTTTTTTTTCAAGATTGGTTTTCGAAGATGCGAGTGTTTCGAGACATGTTTGGATTATTTTTAATTTTGTTTCGGGGATTGGGGAAATTTTGATTACGCAGAAGAGAATATTGAGAAGAGTGAAACAGTCGAGTTGGTTCAGAGGATTCTTAATGTAATCACGTTTGCATTATTTTTGCTTTTGTTTCGGAGGTGGGTGAATTTTGGTTACGCAGAATATTGGAAACGTTTGGGATTTTTAAATCTCTAAACCAACGCGTTTGGATTATTTTTCGTTTTATTTTTCAAATGAATTTTGGTTGCGTAGAAGAGAATATTAGGAAGACATCAAAGGTGAAGAACTTTGGTTTTTTAATAGGGAAATTATTGTCGAAGAATATGACACTTGCTTCAGGATTATTATTTTACTTCAAATTGTCGATTGTGTAGAAGGATATTTTTTAATTATTGAAAGTTTGTATTAAAAGTTCAACACGGAAATCGAAGGCATCGAATCTGAAATAAGATAAAGACGTTTGAATTAGATCGCAGAAATCGTACCGAGACCGAGTAACGACGCCTTCAGTATCCATCGCGCGCTTATAAATCCCTCTGTAATCCCTCCACGAGCGAACACTAAGCAACGATC